TGTATTCTAATGTTGTGGGGTGGAACACTCTGTAGACATCTACTAAGTCCATTTGTTCACAGCTTTGGTTTAGATCTGTTATTTCCTTGCTGATTTTTTGTCCACTTGACTTATCTTTTTGTGTCAATGTGGGTTGAGGTCCCCTGTTATAATAGTGTTATTAATTATATGGGTTTTCATGCCTGTTAAGATTTGTCTTATATAATTTGGAACTCCGATATTTGGTGCATAGATGTTTATGATTGTTATCTCCTCCTCTTGCAATTTTCCCCTGACTAGTATATAGTGACTTTCTTTATCTCTTTTGATTGTTGTTGGTTTGAAGTTTACATGGTCTGCAAACAGAATAGCTACCCCTGCTTTTTTCTGGGTTCCTGTTGCATGAAGGATTGTTTTCCATCCTTTGACTTTTAGTCTGTTGATTTCCTTTTCAGTGAAATGTGTTTCCTGTATACAGCATATTGTTGGATTTTGTTTTTCAATCCACTCTACCAGTCTGTTTCTTTTGACTGGAGATTGAGGCCATTAACATTTGTAGTTACAACCAATATGTATTGATTTATCATTGTCATGTTATTTACTTGTGCTGGTGGCCTACTTTTTGTACCTGTGTATTTGTTTGCTCTTCTTGACGTTTCATTCCTACTGTTGTTTTTGAGATTGCAGTCAGATTTTTCTCTGTCCAGAATACCTTTTAGTACTCTTTATAATGCTGGCTTGGTGCTCATGAAGTTCTTCAATTGTTCTTTGTCATGAAAATATTTTATTTCTCCACTGAATTTGAGAGATAGTTTGGCAGGGTACATCAGTCTTGGTTGGAAGTTGTTCTGTCTCAAGGCCTGTAATATTTCACTCTGAGCTCTTCTTGATTGGATGGTTTGTGCTGAAAAGTCTACTGTGATTCTGATGGGCTTCCTTTTATATGTAATCTGTGTCTTTTCTCTGGCAGCTTTTAATATTCTGTTCTTTTGCTGGAGATCTGGGAACATGACTATTATATGTCTGGGTGTAGTTTTATTTTGGTTGTGGTTGTTAGGAGTTCTAAATGCCTCATTTACTGTATATCAGGTTCTGTTTCCATGCTCGGGAAATTTTCTGCTATTGTTTCTGCAAATAATCTTTTCATGTCAGTCATGTTTCTTCCTGCTGTTTCATTGACTCCTATAAGTCATACATTATTCCTCTTTGCCTCATCTTGCAGCTGTTGAATTGATTTTTCCTGGATCCTTGCTGATTTTTCAAGATCCATTCTTTCACAGTCGCTAGCTGCCATGCTGTCTTCAACGTCTGAGATTCTATCTTCAGCTTCATTCAAGCGGTTTTGGTAGCTTTCAGTGGCAGCTTTGTTTTCCTGGATGTCTCTTAGAATCTGGTTCATGTGTTCTAAGTCCTTTCTATATTTTTCACTGAACACTTCTGACTCTTGCCTTTGTTCTTCTATTTTCTTATATATTTCTTCTTCAGACTTTTTGAGCATTTCCTTCATTATTCTTGTCATTTCACTTTTTGCCTGAGAGATTATTTCTAGTCTCATCTCTTCTATGGCCTTATGGAGTTGTTTCTTTACCTCCATTGCAATCATTTCAGCTATTTCAGGCATGTGATTTCCACGTTCTCCTATGTTGATGTCTCCTGGACTTGTTCTGATTGGGGGGAAGTTCTGGGATTGTGTTTTAGTCTTTCATTTTGACATGTTTGCTACTGGTTGCAGAAAGCTCAGTTTTCCTCTTCAATAGCTGCTCAGCCAAGACAACTAGTGTCCCTATTTTTCCTGTTGTTCAGGTTTGCCTCTGGGTGACCTCTGAGTAGCGCTACTTAGTCTCGGGATTTCCAGCAGTTTTTGATTTGTATTTAGTTCTCAGACATGGGCACTTGTGTCAGATGATGGCCAACCATCTGATCCAGCATCCCCTTGCAGTTCAGTGCACATGCACGACCTGACTCAGGTTGCACTGGTGTGACAATCCCAGTCCAGTGGACCTATGTCTCCAGGCAGGTTAGGGTACAGGCATAATTCAGACACAAACGGCAGGGTCTACAGTTTGTGAACCACCTGAATCTATGTCTCCAGTCAGTTCAGGACACATACAGGAACCAGATGCAGCCTAGATGGGTAGCAGTCACAGACTTTCCCAGCCTTCGACTTGCTAGAGGATCTGGGCAAAGGCAAAGCACAGACTCGAACCCATGGGCTCTGCAGCTCCCAGAGTACTCACTCTCTCGGCACAGGGTGCATGGGGCTCGGAGAGTCTGCTCGCCCAGCCCTCAGCCAGAAAAGTCCCTGGGGCCTCTGAGTCAGGACCTCCTCTCTGCCATGGGTGCCGGATTGGCAGCGACTCAGTCTATAATGTCTGTGGGGTCCTTGTTCGCGCACTCTGCCCTTAGGGAGTAGATGGAAAATACCTGGCTCTCTCTGCACGTTTCAGCTGGGAACTGTGGTTGTGTGGGCCGAGCAAAGACTCGAACCCTAGGGCCCTGCAGCTCCCGGATTACTCACTCTCTGCGCAGGGCGTGCGGGGCTCAGAGAGCAAACTCAGCTATTTTAAATCCCTTCCCAGTGATCTTCCATCCTAACCTCCACTTGAAAATCTTAGTCCAATTTGATCTCTGCCATCAGCCATATGATTGGGGTTTGTATCTGAGCTTAGCCTGTGGAAAGTGAACACTACACCAAGAATGAAATCTCAGGTGTGTATTACTCTTACCATATAAATCACAGCCTGAAGTGCAGACATGAGACAGAAGGCATCTTTTGTCTTGCTGTAGCTCACAACAAAATAGAAGGGGTGAGCTAATAGATAGAAATTGCAATTCATGATAGAAAATGCTAGGGCCAAATAAAAGGTGCAACCAATGAATGCAACTGGAATTTCTTTTATATCTGTAGTTGAACCAAACTCTCCCCGGAATGTGACTTTGGAAGTAAAACAGCCAGAAGACAGAAAACCGTATCTATGGATAAAATGGATCCCGCCCAACCTAATTGACCTAATGTCTGGTTGGTTTGCACTAGAGTATGAAGTTCGATTAAAACCTGAGAAAGCAACTGAGTGGGAGGTGAGTCAAACAGAAACCATTTGAAGAAACCATGTTCTTTAGCAAGCATGAATGAGAACAGACCATTTACCCAATTAGTGGGCCACCATATTAATCTTTTCATGCAGACATAACCCATCCAGATTGGGAAAGGCCTTCTCTCCTCTGCTGGGATTGAAAAGGTTTATCTTCCTCTCTCCCAGAGATAGTTTTTTGCACTACACAAGTTTCTTCCCCCTGTTTCCCATCTACCTTGCTAAGGATATCTTAGATCCTGACAACCACACTGGAGGAAGAAATGTTGAGTATCCCAGTGCGATCTCTCTATGGTCAGTGGTTGTATTTGTAAAGAAATACTTTAGATACTTCAATGTAAAAGACAGTATATTACAGGTAGTATGATAGTCTATCTCTGGATATATATTTTTTAAAAAGAAAGATTCCCAAACATAGCCAAAATAATAGCAAAAATTTATTTATATTCTTTAATAACATGAAATAGTCAGCCCATATTTAATCAACTGACCATGTGTTTCAACAATAACTTTAACAACTGGTTTGCTGAACCACGAAGAATCCACTTCAAGACCACCTGTAGTATCTGGTTATTATATCCTTTCAGTTTTAGTGACCTCAGAAGGCTAGGCCACTTGATCAATAGACTAACCCACCTTGTCTAATTTGTTCTCTATGGGTTCATTTAGCTAATTTCTCTGCCTTTGTATTTCTTGCAAGCAGGCATTAGAACTGAAGACTTGATTAGATTCTGATTGAACAATTTTTGGCCCACACACTTCAGAGGTGATATGTCCTACATAACTCATGATTTCAATAGATACAGCCATTTGGTTAAACCATAAATGATGCTAAATTGATGCTTGGACTGGGGAGACAACAGTCTGATCCATTAATTTTAGAAGCATGTTTAACTTGTACACAATCATCTCAACACACATGAAGACACATGGGTTTAATGCCCATTAATAATCTTTGAATCCATCTCATGGGTTTAATGCCCATTAATAATCTTTGAATCAGTTACTTCCTTGGAAATTAGAAGGTTTTTTTAGCTTTATTATCCCTTCTATATTTATAATGTTAATTTACTTATAACATTTTCCTATCTCTCATGAAGTAGAATTGGGAGTATGTGGGATATTTTTTCTTTTGGAAATATGGTTCCATATGGAAGAATAGAAAACAGGTTGAATTTTTTTGTGTGTGAGAAAATGTTAAAGCAAGAAAGAGACAGAACTGAAAGAGTAGAATGGAATAATGAAAACATGGTATCCTCTAAGTATGGTAATCCACCCTAATGCCTCCAATAAATTATTATTCTGGGGAAAAGTTTCCCTCTTCATGACAAAATGCAGAAGTGAGTTTCTTTTCCTTTGATCCTCCTTAGACACATTCTGCAGGGCAGCAGACACATTTAAAGATTCTCAGCTTACACCCAGGACAAAAATACCTTGTCCAAGTTCGCTGCAAGCCAGATCATGGGTACTGGAGTAAGTGGAGCCAAGAGAACCTCATTGAAATTCCTGGTGGTAAGTAAGTGTCCTGGTTACCCTTGGCTTATAAGCCTGGATATTTTTAAATGGTAAATTTGCATGTAATTACTACTAATAGTGAACTTACTTTGAGCCTTTGCCAGAAGAATAAGCAGAGATAGGTTTATAATCTCTTTGCCAAATGCACAGACATTTGGAAGAGTTTGAATCACTCCCTGGCTTCCTGGGTCACTGTCACTGAGGCTCAGTTTTTAAAATAGTCTGTAGGCATGGCTCAGGGGATTTAATGATTAGTCATTCTGTCCTCCCCATCTATCTCATCTCTGTCACTTAGAAGACCCAGTCAAGACCATCATCTAATTATCCCAGAATTTATAAGATATCAACTCAAAGGTGTGAACTGTTTGGTCTCTAAAAAGAATTTCATGTTTGCCTCTTAGCCAAGACACAGTATATGAGAGATCTTCAGTGCTAACAAAGTGACATTAAATATAGTGGCTTTTATTCTATAAGGGAGTGAGTCCTCCTGCATTTCTAAAGTACCTTACAGTTTACAGTTTTTACCTCATTTAGTACCTCCAGTTCTCTTGGGTATTAAAGAAAATGTAATTACATTACATTTAGGAATTAAAAGTAAGGGAACTGAAAGTCAGTGAAGTTAGGCCCCTTACCAGGGCAACCCTACAAAGTCTAGCTTTTCCAACAACTTGTCTAGCTGAAGTATCAGGGGTTATTTGTGTGGCAAACTGGAAAGAGCACTGAATAACTGTGGCTCAGGACATGCAACTAGTTCAGCCCTGGCTTATACTAAATAAAAGCAGTGGGTTTAGCAGCAGAAATCCTGTGCTCTAATCCTGATTGCAACTCAATAGTGACATGACCACTCATAGATTTCTGCACCTATAAAACAAAGCAATATATTTTAAAAGGTTAATATGACTGTTGGTTTTTATTATTATTACTGCTATTGACCATGGATTCCTTTCTTAAAGAGCAAATAAAAGAATATGAAAGGATTTTAAAATGTGTAGACTATTGTAAAATATGTGCAACATATTAAAATATTAATAACATGGGAAAAATCAAACCTATCACTAATGCTGTGTTGAATTGCTCTCCAAGTCAAAAGACATACAATTTTTTCCAGTGGAAAAAAATCTTGTGTTCAAAAGTTTCATGCATAGACTGGTTGGTTTGTTTTTAATGATGCTGTCTGTGACCAAAGTTTTCTGGCTGTTTGTTTTTTAGACATCAGCATGAACAACGCAACTGTATGGGTCTTTGTGGCCATTCTCTCTGCTGTGGTCTGTTTGGTTATGTTCTGGACAGTGGCTTTAAAGGGCTACAGGTACTTCACTATCTGTCAGCCCTTCTTTCAACCACAGTTGTGAGGAATAATAGCAAAAACAGCAATATAGATTCTCTTTGCTTTTGAACAATTTCTTCCCAATTTGCAATATCTATTGTACATTTTGGGTCCTAGTTACTCCAGCTTAAAAGAAAAGAGAAACTGTGATGGGGGAAAGGGGAAAGAAAAGAATGGAAAAGGAATAATATGTATATATAAACAAGATAGCTAAGAAAGTTATTCTACTAGTTTCTCTTAGTTCATTGAAAATAAAGGTTTGTGCTTTTTATGGTTTATGTCTGTGTGTCCCCCCAATGCTTCATGCGGACATGAGGCAGGCTTTTAGAGTTGAATGATTGTGGGTGTGAGAGCTACACCGCCCTGGGGTGGATAGTTTGCATATGTAAGGGAGAGGAAGAAGCTGCTTGGGGCCATTCCTCCCCCATTCCGCCCTGGTGGTGGTGGTTGCTTAGCTGTGTGCTGCCGCCCTGAGATGCAGCCCTCTGCAGTGTGCCACTCTGCCTTATAATTGGCCAAGTATGGATTGAAACCTCCACAAACTGTAAGCAAAATAAACCTTTCCTTCCTTAATTTTGGGTGTCAGGTATTTTGTCCCAGCAACGAGAAAAAAGTAACCAAGACAGAATTTGGTACCAGGAGTGGGGTCGTTGCTGTGACTATATCTGACCATATGGTTCAAGAGCCTTTGGAAATGGCTTGTGGGGAATGTTTGGAAAAGTTTGGAGATGTCACCTGAAAGAGAAGCACTAGAACGCCTTCGGCTGTTCTGTTTGGGAGATTCTGGTCAGAGCTCGGAAGACCAGAAAGCTGATAGAAATCTTGCTGGTAAAGACCAGGTTTGGGAGGTTTCTGCTGGGAAGAAGGACTTCATTGGTTGTTGGACTCCAGATGATGTGTGCTATGGCTTGGCAGAAAGTTTGTCTGCATTTTGCTCGTGTCCAGAGACTTTGCCTAAGACTGAGATTAAGGATGGCAGTGGACTGATTAATCTGGCAAAACAAATATCAAGGCAGTCAAACTTTGGGGCAGTGGCATGGCTATTGTTGGGGGCTCTTAGCCAGATTTATATTGAGAATCAAGAACAAAAAGCCCTGCAGGATGATTTAAAATGTTGTGAGTTTGGCCAGAAAGAAAGCTCCAGTAAAGCTGTGGACTGCAAAGGTGGAGCTGAGGAGATCTCCATTCCTGAGAAGGAACAGGAGAATAGAAAAGATGGCCTGAGGGCATCACAAGAAGCAGCAAGTCTCCACCCTTTGCAGCCTCAAAACTGCAAAGGTGAAAGACCTTGCCTTGAGGAGAAAGCTGTTGAGCGCCATGTTCCAGAATGGCGGCGGCGGCCACACCAGGCTCCAGAATGGCAGCAGCATAAAAAATCTGCTCCTCAGAATTGGATTCAGAGTGCCCAGCGATCCAGGCACTCAACCCCTGTGGCCAAGAGAGAGGAAAACTTGGCTACTGCTCCAGGTGGCAGCAGACCTTGGCATCATCCATGTGGCCCTGGCTTTAGGTGCATGGAGAATGCAGGAGTTCTGAGGTTTAAGAGTCTTCCATCCAGATTTCAGAAGGCCTGAGAGGCCAGGCAGTGTGCCCCTGAGAGGGCAGTGTGTGAGGCTGTGAGTGTGAAGCAAAAGATGCCCTAGAGACCTCAGAAATTTAGAAAAGCCAGGACCGTGGATGATCTAAGGAAAACTGAATGGAGGGAGCAAAGCAGGCCTAAGAGAGAAGCCGTGGAAGCTGTAACCACCAGAAATGCCACAGGGGTGGACTCATGAAAGCCCTTTAGAGCTTACAATGTGCCACAGATTGCTTCAGATGCCGCATGTGGAACTACAGGACATGATGTTAGCCCTGCTGGATTTTGGACTTGCTTTGGTCCCAATGCTCTGTGTTCCCCTGTTTGTACCTTTTGGAATGGTACTGCTTATTTTGTGCCATTGAATGTTGGAAGTGTTTAACTTTTCATTTGTAAAGGTGCTCACAGCTGAGAGTTTGCCTTACATTTTGGAGGAGACTTGGAACTTGGACTTTTCAGCAATGCTGAAACTGTTAGGACTTTGGCAACTCTTGCAGATGGACTAATTGCTGTTTGTATGAAGGGATGGGCATGAGTCTTTGGGGGGCCAGGGGTGGAATGTTATGGTTTATGTCTGTGTGTCCCCCCAGTGCCTCATGCGGACATGGGGCAGGCTATTAGAGTTGAATGATTGTGGGTGTGAGAGCTACACTTGCCCTGGGGTGGATAGTTTGCATATGTAAGGGAGAGGAAGAAGCTGCTTGGGGCCATTCCTCCCCCATTCTGCCCTAGTGGTGGTGGTTGCTTACCTGTGTGCTGCCGCCCTGAGATGCAGCCCTCTGCAATGTGCCACTCTGCCTTATAATCTGCAAAGTACGGATTGAAACCTCCACAAACTGTAAGCAAAATAAACCTTTCCTTCCTTAATTTTGGGCATCAGGTATTTTGTCCTAGCAGTGAGAAAAAGTAACCAAGACAGTGCTACCAATGTTTGTACAATATCTCATGCCTATATCCTGTACTCTGAGTAACTACTCTGAAGATAACAATATGCAATGTATTAATTATTGTTACTCTCCTGTTACCTTGTTTTAAATTTCTGGGGTTCTTTTTTTCCTTTTTAATACAGAGATGATGGAAACATACAGATAAGTCCAAATTTCATTTTAGCCATTAACTTGCAGTGTGTTTGCCCATAAAAAATCTTTTATGAGTATAAAAAAGTAAAAAAACACATTGATTCATTTGAAGTAGGGACTCTTTCCATCAAGTGAAGGTTCACAGTTGTTAAATAGTAAAAATCTTGTAAGAGCAGCTAAAATTAAGAAAAGCAAATTATTCAAGTGATCCACTAGCTCCAGAATCTTCCTGAATTAGCCAGAGCAAATTTTAATGTAGGTCTCTGTAATTATTATCTCTATCATTTATTGTTAGTTTCACACAGACCTAGAACTCTTCATGGAGCAATCATTTAAAAGCAATCTTTTAAACATTGCAAAGTGAAAAGATGAGTCACTTATCTAATCTCTCAAATTACTTTGCAGAATGATAACCTGCATCTTTCCACCAATTCCTGGGCCGAAAATAAAAGGATTTGACACTCATCTGCTAGAGGTAAGTGCAACTGGTAGAGACTGTATGTGACTCTCTTCTTTGTGATAATGAACTTTATACATGCACACACCATCCCATTAAGCCAGCTTAGCCTTCATGGTCACTCTTCTCTAGCTGCTGCTCCTCATTAGCATGTGCGTAACCAGAAAGAGCTGTGAGAGATGAGGGTGTTAACTATCAGATACTAACAGTCAGAGGGCATGGAGGGAAAGCCAGACAAATATAAAAACACACGGTAATGCTTGCTAGATTTGCTCATTAGCACAAAGAGAACCATTTGGAACAAATGATCAACTTAGTAATAGAGTGAATATTTTGATTCATATAAAACAGGAACCCACAACCACCACCTCCAACATATACTGGTAAATGCTGTCACCTGAATGTTCTTTTAATAAAGCCATAGTGACAGAATATTCTGTTGCCCCTATTGCTCAGTTTCTTCAGTCGGTTAAGACTGGATCAGTCCAATGGGAGCTGGTATTTGCCAAGACACATTATACTGAACCAAAGGAAACTTAAAGGTTAAACGTATTTTGAATGAAAAGGGAGATTAGAATATTTTTAATTTCTCTCTAAATTGAAAGGTAGAGTTTCAATTTGAACTTAACCTGAACAGTGATTGATCTGAAAAGCTAGTATCTGTGAATAATTGCAAATTCCAACTGACCCAGTTACTGAGAGGTTGATAGTGTAAGAATATGAAAAGTGAGTCCCAGAGAATTTGATTTGTCTGCAGCTCTTTTCGGTTGTGAATATCACTGCAGGGACTTGAGCCTAGGAGTTTTGGATCCTGGTCCAGTGCCCTCTACCCACTATCTAGTCTAGCACTGACCTTTATAGAACCAGCATCAGTACCTCAACTAACTAAATTAACTACAATGGAGCTCATATCTCAACCTCCCAGCCATTCAGAGGCTTAATGATAGTGTAGCTAATTTGAGGGTTGAAAAAGTACAATATTCTCCCTTTCATGATCTCTAATCCTCAAAAACATCCCTCCCAAATCCATAATATTATTCCCATTTTTTAAATGGAGAAGCTGGGATTTACACAGTAGTTTGTCCAAAGTCATCTATAGCCTATAAGCGATAAAGCAAAGGCATAGGCATAGGCATAGGCACCAGCACCTTATTTAAATCAGAGAACCAGGGAAAAGAGAAGCAGTAAGGGGAAGAAGAAAGAGAGGGAGAAGAAAAGGAGGAGGAAGAAGAACAGGGGAGAGAAGAAAATATGAAGTAGGCAAAATGAGGGAACAGAAGGAGGGGAAGGAAAAAGAGGAATAGAAGGAAGGAAGTGAGAGGAAATTGAGAAAGAGGAGAAAAAAGGGAAGAGAGAATAAATAGGAAGAGGGGGAGAAAAAGACAAGGATTGCAGGAAAGGAAAAAGAGGGGAATTAACTCATCACCAAGTCTAAAGAGGAGTGGAAGAGGTTAGAAGCCCAGCAGTGAGTCCAGAACTGCTCTGCCAATGAGTGTCCAAGTGCTAGATCCATATGTGAACACTGTGGCTTCAGATGGTTCCCAAGATCTTTTTATTTGATAGTTTATGTTTATGATATGTATGTATACTACTTGCCCATTGAACCAATGGTCATTACTGCTTAGAGAGAAATTAAGTGAAACTAATAAATTAATTTAAAGAAAGGTATTTGATGAGTAGTAACCAGAAGGTGACTATAGATGGCCTGGTACACAAATGCCTGGTGTTTGGGAAATCCTGTGAGGTTGTTACCATACCCACCCTGCTCAAGTAATAAACAGACATCACTCATATGTGATGCAGACTGGGCATGTGATAAAGCTAACAGCGCTCTCTCTTTTTGTGTCTATGTTTCCATAGAAAGGCAAGACTGAAGAACTCCTGAGTACCTTGGGATGCCAAGACCTTCCCCCAACTTCTGACTGTGAGGAGTTGCTGGTGGAGTTTTTAGAAGTAGGTGACTCTGACGACCAGCAGCTAATGCCAGCTTTTTCCAAAAAATACCCAGGTCAAGTTGTGAAATCCCAACATCCAGATCCCGATAATGACTCTGGCCATGGAAGTTGTGACAGCCCTTCCCTTTTGTCTGAAAAGTGTGAGAGACCCTGGGCCAATCCTCCCACTTTCCACACTCCTGAGGTCATTGAGAAGCTAGAGAATCTGGAAGCAAATATTACCTGCACCTGGGACCCCCAGACCAGAAGCACAGAAGACAAAATCCTTCACTTCCATGCTAACGGATCCAGATCCTCAACCTGGCCTTTACCTCAGCCTACCCAGCACAACCCGAAGTCTCCTTACAACAGCACTGGTGAAGTATGTGAGCTGACCATGGGCCCCAAAGCTGCAGTGGCCACTGTGTTAGACAAATCAGGCAGAGATGCTTTGAAATTCTCTAAAACCATTGAGGCTGGAGTTGGGGGAAAGGCAGTTGAGCAGATTGAGGTGGAAAGCTTCCCTTCTAAGACTGAGCAAGACACAGCATGGCTTCTGCCCCAGGAAAAAGGCCCCTGCATCCCTGCTAAACCCCTGGATTATGTGGAGATTCACAAGGTCAACAAAGATGGAGCACTGTCATTGACCCCAAAACAGAAAGAAAGCATTGACCAGACAGAGAAGCCACAGGCTCCCGAAAATTGTAAAGAGTATGCTAAAGTGGCCAGAGTTATGGATAACAACATCCTGGTGTTAGTGTCTGATCCACGAGCTCAAAACAAAGAGGCTGTACCACCCCTTCAGCAGAATCAAACTGAGAAAGACACAGGCTACAACACTGCAACACCAAGCAACTGCAGACTCCAGCGGGGTGGTTTGGAGTACATGGACCCTGCAAGCTTCATGTGCTCCTTTCATGGGCAGGTTGATTAATGAAATGATCGGTGATAATGTGATTTTTCTTCAGGTACCACTACAGAGTTATGAAAAACCATCTGCTAATGATGTTTAAGAATGTGGGTAGAATAGCACTACTTCGCTCCTTTTCATGGTCCATGCACAGCCACTTGCCTCTTTCTTCAACAGCTGATTTCCAAACGAATTATTTTGTCTCCATGATTTGTAGATTTACTTTTTTCTATTAGTTATAAAAATTATGTGTTCAGTGAAATAAAAGCACATTGCTTAGTACTCTTGATGGACACTGCCAATGGGGCATATCCTCTGGGAAAGGCTTTGGTGTTAGTGTGTGTCAGAAGGCAATGAAAAGATCAAAATGGTTTTGCACAAGAAGGTGACAGATACACAGCAAATGAAAACCACTTTTGAAGACCAATTGCCTAACTTTTACACTACTCCTTCATTTTATTAGGATTATTCCAATAAAACACATTTAATGAAAATGCATTCCAGAATAACTGAAGAATTGTTTGCACCAATTCCTATACCTTACTAACACACTGTTGATATGCGAGTGAAATGACAACCCTAATTTTCTCTTAAGATAGTTCGAATGTGTCAGGTATGTGTTTCTCCCCTAAATTTTATTTCATTCTGAAGTCTCTATATAGCTTTGGAAAGTAAAATTCTCTGCTGCACAAGAGGCAAATGAATCATGTGGTGAATCTTTTTAGGATGTTTTCCTGTTTCACTTCAGCAAGTTAGATAATTAATTATACACCCTAGTCTTTGCTTAGTGAAAAAAATTCCCAAAGACAAACTTTAAAAGACAAACTTTAAAAGAATCACAGCAGGATGCTAATAGAAACACTGCCTTACTGTACATACAAATTCTACTTTAATACAAGCCCATAAGTTTAGCAATGTATTTTTGAAGACTATTTTTCTACTGATTAGGTAAAACAAAGGACTATTTTCTATTTTCCCGGTACAGTTCTTTAAGTATTCAGTGGATACAGTACTTGCTGCTACAAGGTGACAATGAGTATTCGAGGTATATATGCAGTTCTTGTTTGTGGGGTAAAATGCCATATGAAATAGATGACAAAATTCAGTTTCCAACACAATGGAGTATATTCTTTGATTCTTTTTATGTCCAGGATACCTTAAGCTGAAACAACTACCCCCAACCTAGGGTTTTAGGGCTCTCCACAGACCAGAATAGATTTTGCCTGTGGCTTCAGGGCTATTCTAGGGCTTTGGCCTATCAACAAGTGTATCTTCATAAAGCTACCATAAAAATGGAGGAGAATGTGATTTCTAACACCTGTTAGGTTTTGTTTTGTTTTTCTGAGCACTTTTTGGCAGCAGAAGAATTTTAAGAAAAACCAGGAGCTAGTACCTCTCTGGAATATATCTATTTGCAAAACGTTGGCAGAGGTAGATACCATACTCATATCAGAAGTGTTCAAATAAAAGTTCAAGGAAAGCAGACATCTGTAGAACATCAGGAACATCTCCAGAACTCGAGGTATGGTAGTGGGAGTCTGCACATCAGTTCCAAGGGTAGGCTCCTTGAAACTGGTTGAAGCTTGGATTTCCATTTTAATGGGAGCATCCATTACTTATCTACTGCTCAAACTGCTTCCTTATATTTTTCATTTTACCTCTTGACAAATCCATCTTCTTTTCATTCACTACATGGACATAAAGAAAAGGAAACTCACTCTGCAAGTTAAACATTCACTTCCATATTGATAGGAACTGGACACAGATGTTTCCTGATGAATGAAAGTGAATACTTTACCAGTGCTTTGTGAACTGCAAAAGTAAAAGATCTGAAGCTTTATTTTCCCAGTACAGTGTACAAACAACTTCTTGTGAGTGAAGGAAGCATAAATAAAGTTTTCCATGCTCATTCCATCTCATATCCTCAATACTCAGTGTGTGAGAAGTAACTGTATGGGAATCACCCAGCCACTGCTTGAAAATTTTGTTTGCAGAATCTCAGGCTCCAGACCAGACCTACAAAATCAGCATCTGCATTTAAGATCTAGATGATTCCTTGTACGTTGAAACCTGAGAAGCACTGTCCTAGATGACCATTTCCACTGAAGGTTATCTTACTGCATGCAAACACTCCTCCACAGGAAAGTACAGATCCAGTCTGTGTAACTTACAATGAACAAGCCTGTCTGTAAGAGAAGGCAAAAAAAAAAACAAATCTATTAGTGGTTAAGGTGTACATAATGGCATTTTGTTTATATGAATATGATAAAATTTCTATATCTGTATACATATGTCTTATAATTTTAAAACAAAAATAATCTGATTTTGAGATATAATTTTACATATATGAAGAATATTTTGGCTGGCTAAAGATTCTAACCAAATCTCAAAAAAGCACCAATTAGTAATCATTAAATAAAGTCAAGACTACAATCCCATCAACGCTATGATCAACTGTCACTGTGTAAGTTTTGTTTTTTTCATGGCCTAAAATATTTTTTCTTAAGGAGACAGCCCTTTGTATGGAAGAATGCATACTAGAGTTGAAGAGACCTGGATTCTAGTCCTAAATGTTTTACCTTGGAGAGACTAAGTCCCTTCTGTCTCAGCTTCTTCTGAAGAAAACATTGGAAACAATAATCTCTAAGATCCTTTTAAACTCTGAGTCCTTGCTTCCATGACTCACTAAATATTTTCCCACAAAGATAATTTGAACCAATGCCTTGTATCTTAATTAAGCTATCAAATAATTGAAATAATTGGTCTTCATTATGGAAATACAAAGTAATCATCAGTGATGCATTCATCGTACTTCATTTTTTAAATCATCAGCTCCAACTGGTCTTAATATATTTCACATGCACTTTATTAGTTATGTAGGCACAGAATCATATCTAAAATTGTGTGCAAACACATAGAGATGAGAAACCTAAGATAGAAAATAGACGTGTGGGAAAATTCAATGACTCTTTAACTGATCTCTAATGGAAGCAAGTCTTGTTCACTCCTCATGTAGTCCAGCAGCCTCAAACCTTTTTTCTAGCTATTGATAGATAGCCAGATCTATCTGCCTATGACCAATATCTGCCTACTGATCATAGTTTACAAATAATCATTTCCCAAGTGACTTATAGAGCCTTATGCTCTGAGTTATGAAAATTCATACTTTTATTAACAAATACTTAAATATTTAAGTTATAAAGCACATGGAACCTGGGTAGAGTCAATAAATGACTTCTGGGAGCTTATCATTCAAATGGCAAAACATTCCCTGACAACGGGCGCCCCAAGGTGAGCACAAGTTACTACAGAACATCACTGATTTTTGTGGATGTTACATTTTCCTAAGTGCCTAAGACCAATACTGGGGGTCAGTTATGGACTAAAGATTCAAACTGATTTGGTCTGAAGAAATAGGTCTTTTACTGTCTATATAACATCAAAGAAGTTTGACTCTTTGCCCTATGATGACCCAACTGAACCGGTGAGGAAATCAGGCTAGATGACCTAAATTAATGAGCAACCAGAGGCACCCAAGTTCCAAGTAGTAGTTCATCTCTGGAGGAAAGCTGGCTTTCTCTGTTTTGAGCTGCCCTCTGCTGCCCAGCATTTGCAGAAAGAGTTGGCCCTGCCCTTAGTACCTTCCCTATCTCCCTAGAATAGACAAGAAAGAAACCAATTTGTATGTTTTTAGGAAGTGCCTTTACTTTTATAAAAAGCTTTCATTTTGCAAGAAAGTTCTATTGAGTGGAAAGTAAAATATACCTAATGTAAATTTCTCTTAAATGAATTGAGAGATGAAAAAAGAGAGGCTAGAAAGGAAATGATAAAATGGTCTAAGGACTAACCAGCACAGTGTTCAATGGTTTTTGTATATTGTCCCATTGAGTTACCATACAGCTGATGTGAATAGTGTAACTTAATTTGTCGGATAAGAAATTGAGTCTGGGGGCTGGCGATACAGCAGTGGTATAAGCGCCCACCTGGCAAGCACAAGGTCCTGAGTCTGATTCCCAGTACAAAAAAGGAAAAAAAAAAAAAAAAACCTTGAGTCTAGCTACGATTGTAGGATAAATCTATCACCCTATTATTCTAGCGTCTCCATTTAAAAACATTGGTGAACTTTTAAGTATCACTGAATTGCATGTAAGTGCCTGAAAAAGATAATTGTACACTTTGAAATTTTGCACACAGATGGAAAAATATTAATGACTGAACCCCTCTTCCTAGTGCTGCTAACATAGATTTGCTATTGATTAAGCCTTGTGTGTACTTCAGTGAGCAAATTTCCTTTTCTGCCCTTTAGACTCAAGCACAATATTGTTCTTACTAAGATAGTAACTGAGTACTCAATGTTCAGCTCTAGGTCACCTCATTGTCACTAAACAGGCTAGATGACCTTGCTTAAGTTCTTTAAATTCTTGTCACTATTTCCTCATTTGCTCAATGAGTGAGTCGGCCAAAAATGCTTCTAACATTTCCAGCTCTGTCTTTAATTCTCTTAATCTAGGTAATCCAAACCTTCAAGTCAAAGGCCTAGGTGCCATCTCTTGCTGACATGTTCCTGACCTAACCAGTGAATTCCTGACTCAGTGTGTCTGCAAAAATGCTTCAGAGAAAAACAGATTCATTTCTTAAGGTCCAATAGATTGAATGTCTTCATGTCCCCTTTTCCTTCCTTCCTAGTTTACATTGTAGGTGGTCACTGCCTCTCTTCTCCTACAGGCTAAATATGTACAGTAGCAACCATAGAATCCAGAACACACAAAATTACTCATAAACAATTATTTTGGCCCTGCAAAGAACAGATCAAATATGAAATCACCATACAGATATCCAAGCCCAAGCTGAGGGTCACAAGTAAACCCATTTAGAGATTCACATGAGTAAAGATTTGAGTCTATATTCATTATTTAGTTAACTCAAAGACCATCAATGAATCCAAGCTATCCTATTGACTAGACACTAGAAGTCTTAGAAGAAACAAAAATATACAGTGATTGCTTTAGAGCTTACGAACTAACCAGAAACTGTATTTATAATTGCAGCCTAGATTTATTTTATGTTTAACAAATACATCTGTAAAATTATCTATAAATCAAACAGAAGTTCTCTCCAAACTTTTGTTTCTCAGGGAAGTGAATTTTTTTATTGGGACACTGTGATATCTATTTCAGTTTAAGTAAAAAGAACAGAAGATAACAGGTTATTTCCAAAGTTCTAGGCATCTCAGTGTGCTAATAAATGCCAAGATTACCTACTAAACCCAATGTTAGAAAAAGGACGAATCTATTAATTCTCTCAGTTTATGGCCATAAAATCTGGAAATGCACTTAATTTACACCAAAGGCTGGCAGCTATTCTGTCCATAATGATTCCTTTGATTTATACCCTAAATTCAATTAAACACCATGGAGACGTGCACAGTGGAAAGATATAACCTGTTTAAACGGTGTATCAACCTACACTTTGCCTGCTGCTATTTTAAAAATAAAAAAACAACTCTAAAATCTTTGGGAACCCTATACTTTGCCTGCTGCTATTTTAAAAATAAAAAAAAAAGCTCTAAAATCTTTTGGAACTAAAGCAGTAATATTAGAAATAACCTTTAATAGTTATGGTCAAATTGTGCTTAATCTGGATAAACTTCAAAATACTGAGTTTTTCTGAGCACATTTTGCAAATCTTCAGGCAGGATCTTTCTGTCATATTATCTGAAATTGGGAATCTAAGCAAATTTACTTCTGAAAAATTACTTGCTTTATAAAAGTCCTGAAAAAAATGACACTGAAATGACAAGATTCCCTCTGTGTCCTAATAACCTTCATTCAGATCTACTTATAAAAAGATATTACATCTCATGCTTTGACCGTTTCAGTGGCGTATGTAGTTGTCTTACGACATTACTGACTTTAATCAATATTGTATACCATATTGTTTTATGCGTTTGAAAATACTATATGTCACATTAAACTATATACTCCTTATGAAACACATCATGTAATGGAAATGAAAATCATTATTTAATGACATAATTTATCTATACATAATTTCAATGTGATCCTGTCTGTCTATAAAACAAAACTAAAAATATGTAATAATATATTTGTGGAAACTGTGAATGCACTAATTTTTTCTGTGATCTGTCTAGAAGTAATATATGCAGTTATGCAGCTGTTCTGGGCGTTATGTGTTTAAAGTACAATCTAACAACTGCTTAAATGTCAACTCCTCCACTTTGCTTCATGTGACTACTGAGTCTTCATGTGTGTTTGCATCATGAATCTGGCGTTTTCACTTCATCATTCATTGAAACAATTTAAGATTCTCATGTGGAAACCAAAGCAATCTAGACCCCACCCACTGAGTGATTTTGTCTCTTATAAAGCCATATTGAAGTGAAGTCTGTGCCACAGTACAAAGTTCCATATTTTCAAAGCTACCACTACCTCTGCTTTTTCCCTAGAAAATGCCAAGCAAACTTCAACATTAAGTAGGAAACCAGATGTGATTGTTACGGTATATTGCTGGAGTTATTTTTGTAGATTATACCTTCTAATTCACCACTTTGCAGGTTTTTTCTGTTTTCTGAGTAACCACCTTTTACATTGTTATATTTTATTTAGAAAAACTGGCTGATGAGTGAAATTCAAAATGAATACATAGTCATCAAATTAAAAAAAACCCAGATACAGGTTTACTTCTTGTAAGTCACTTCACAGCGTTTGCCCAAAGCCATGATAATGTATGCAATTATTGAAAATGCTCAGCTCAGTGCCTCGCTCAGTAGACGTTTCCTTCCACTGCTTACCTTTCCTCTCTTTTTTTCATACTTGAAACACAGAAGAGCAAATTTACATGTACGTTGCTGAAACAATTTTCTTGAAAAGTGTTTGCTGCTAACAGATCTATAATCAGGAATACAATTTAATTTCTCTAAATACCTTAAAAATAAACCTTTTCCTTATTTGATTTTAGACATCAAATACACTATGGTATGGGAAACATCAGCCGTTTATCGGAAATAATTTCAATTTAGTTTTTAAAACTCATCTCTATGTTTTTGTTATAATGTCATTGTTTCTCCTTTTTAACCTCCAAGAGGTATAGACTACAGTCTTCTGGTTGGTTATCTTGCATTTCTTATTCTGTAAATCTTTGATTATTGCACATTATGGTTGCTGTTTTCCAAGGATTTATTCATCTGCGTCCTTCTATTTCACAGGAACAGCATGGACAGTTAAATCTTTAAATCTTTGTCAGTAGAATGGGAGATTATGCTAACTGCTATTCTCACATCTTCATTTTTACTGCATGCCAAAAACAATGCTTGCCAAACAAAATTTTGGATAGCCTAGTGTAATATGATTATTATGTCTCTATTTATGTCATTATTCAAAACACCCAGCTCAGTGTTTGACTCAATAAATGTTTATTTCTCTTGCCTATTTTTTATCTTTTTGTATTTGAAATGAGGACAAGTAGAATAACATGTGGTTGATGCAATTTAGGTTTTTGCTGCTAAAAGATCTATAATCAGGGAATTTTTCTTATAAATTTAACCAAAACATCTTTTCTTGTTTATCCTACCATATGATTACAAAGCAAAATTACTAACCCATCAAAAAAAGATACAGAATCCCTTTGAATGTCCATAAATATTATTAACATCTTATCTGGCAAATTCTATCAGATGAAGTGTAAATGGATAACATAACAAATCTAGATCTAAAAATCACCTACTATTCCGCTAGTATCACAAGATTGTGAAATTGTGGGTAAGGCAGTGCTTTGCAAACTATTCTCTGTCACCTTCTAATTATCTGATGCCATATGCTACTGAAAAAGAAGGAATTTCTTTCTGATATGAATGTCAAACTCTCAAATTTGGCTTTAAGCAAAGAAACATTCTCTCTTCTGTGCTTCTATTGGAACTTTTCATTTACGGGTCCATGAATTTTTCTCAAGCTGCAAAATTTGGAGTGTCAGTCTCCAGTCACAAGATCTGTACAATTAGTCAGGGGCTGTGTAAATAACACATAGTTTTCAAAAAGTATTTCACATGCTTTCCTGAAAGAAATCAGAAATTCTATGTTGCTACATTTTACCAGAATCCCATCTGAAATCTTAATCCAGTCAAGACTGCTACCTACATTTTACTTACCAAAATTTATACATTCTGAATCTACCTCATTTTTAAGGGATGGAAGATTCATCTTCCATGCTGGTATGAAGAAGAAGGATACAAATGAAAAGTATGAGAATATGGTCATTGAAAAACCCCCAACAGAAGTCTTCTTGGGTATGGGGTGTGGTGAAATTCCTACCAGCTTTGAGTCCCTCTAAACTGTGTAGGCAAAACTGAACTTGTTGTAGATATTATAAATATATTCCACTTTAGAAGTCCTGACACGTATAATTGGAATTCTTTTATCTATAACCCCATCCACCCACTCCACAGGACCCACCAGAGCTCCCGCTGCCCATGCAAATGTTAAGCATCTCATTAAGATCAAGTTCACATTAAAACTGACTTGAAGCACAGATGTTTTTATAGTTGCTGTAAAGTATTTTTTAAAGAAAAGGTTAGAGGATGTCAGCCAAATAAAACATAATGTGAATGTTGGGTAGCAAACACTGGTATAAGAAAAAGTAACTCAGGAAGTTTTATAACCACATTTATAAAAGTGTTTAAAGGGATTTGTATATGGCAAAGTTACATTTTTAAGTGACACATTTGTTACTTGTAAAATTATTAAAATTACAAGGTAAATTTAAATGACATTTCCTAATAGTTTTACTTTACATGGTCAATATTGACCTGTAGCTAAACTATGTAACTTTATAATGCATTTTTCGATCACTTTTCAGAGCAAATTCTTTTGCAATGGTAAAAATGCTTAGTTTAAATTGATTTAGGGGCTGGGGATTTAGCTCAGCGGCAAAAGCGCCTGCCTGGCAAGCGCAAGGTCGTGAGTTCGGTTCCTGGTACCGGAGAAAAACCAA